ATTTAGAGATTTACATTTCTGAATATAGGAAGGCTAATTGAGATAAGTTCATTCAAAGCAAAACCATTTCTTCCTTGATGCAGACAGTCAAACTGGAAAGCATCTCCATGGCTTACCCCTGCCACTCAGCCCTGCTTCCCTCACTTGGTCAACTCTTTTGCCCTAGAAGTCCGCAGCCCAGGCCCTGTGAGTTGTAAAGTTAGTAGGGGACACTGTCCTGCTAATGGGAGATGATCTGAATAGCCTGGCCCCAGTGAGCTGCTTTTCGGCCTCTTCATCCAGTTGGTGCAACTGCTGCTACTCCTTCTATTCATTAGGCCGTCCTCCTCTGCTTTGCTAGTTTGCTTCCTGCTGAGAGTAATTAGGTTTCTTATATAATAATAATTCCTTGTATTTAGAATGCTGCCTTTTTCTAAGGACCTTAAAGTACCTCTCAGACATTAGCTCATCTGTTCTTCTCACACAATTGCCTCATGAGATAGGTGCTAATTGTTCCCATTACAAAGACCAAACAACTAAGGCTCACCCGAGAAAGTGGTGCTTTCCCTGCCCAGAGTAGCACAATATCTCTTGAACAGCAGAGTCAAATTAAGGTCGCCTGATTCCTCAATAGCCTGCCTTACTTAGATCCGAGAGTCCAGGAGGTGATGAGCCCTCTGCAGATAGAAACCGCCCCCCCACACTCCCTCTAGGAACCTCATTAGCACTGGGCGTGGCCCAGCGGTCACTCTTTCACTAAACACCAACACTTTTCTTACACTGTGACTGATAGAGAAAAATCGCAGCAGCATTTCACCCTTCGTTGGTGCAATGTTCAACTGTGCAGAATAAATAGCGTTGTCTCAGAGGTAAGTACCTGCAGAAGGTAAAAATAGATCATTTAGCCTCCAATTAGTAGTATTTCAGCAGAACCCACTGCCAGTGTTCTCTGCAGCAGTTAGAGCATTCGAATGTGTCACGTTGGATGGTATAAATGTTTCTGCTTTCAGTATTCAGTTGTTTTAATCTGCATCGGACACCTTTCAAGTGGAGTGGAGTCCTGAACCTCTTCCTCTTTCCCCCAAGCAGCCTTTATCCCACAGCGTGGGCTTGGCAACTGAGGTAAAGGACTCTCTCCCCACTCAGAAAAGCAAGAGGCCTAACACAGATCAACCTCACAGTGCTACACTGAATCCGAAAGTGGTTATACAAGGAGGGTAGACTTGCTAAATAAAAAGTGAAACAATTAAAAAGTGAAGGAGAGTGTGGTATTCAAATGAGACCTGGCTATCAACAACAAAAAAAAAAAAAAACCCATTCACTAGTCAATGCTCAGCACACTTCAGTCACATCAAAAACAGCTCTTGAATTAAAGACTGCATTACAGTTTTCTTCTGCCAGTTGCTACTCCCTTTCCTGTCTTGACACGGTACTAGAATGCTTTCGGTTTTCCCTTTTTTTTTTTTAACTTTCTTTTTATTTTTTTCTATTTGAATTAAGAGAGATCCATTACACTAAAACTAGTTTTAAAAAAAAGCCAAAAATGACTTGTGAACAAGTCATTTGCTATTTATAATTAGAAATACTTTCTAAGAATGATTCATTAGATTAACTGAACTTTCACTGGGCAAACCTATTCTTAAAATGATTTATATGTTGTTCTGCAAGGCCACGGAAATAGAAATAACAAATTGGCGTAAGATCTCCAGTGTCTAGGACATAACCCAGAACTGATACCGTGGGTCTCCAGATGTGCCTTTCCAGCATGGCTTGGCAGTCAGACTTGTGGCTTTAGATTCCCTAAAATTATTCGCCTTTACAATTTGAAATTAATATTGATGTTGATGGAATAACATTATTATCTTTTGGGTATTTGTGGAACCATTCTGCTCATTCTGTGTTCTGGTTTCTCCTTATTACCTATTTTCATTTCTTAAAAGGCCTGTCATGTAGTCTGTGGTTTAATTCTCTGTTGGCCCCTATGAGTCCATGACATGTTCCGGGCCTGTTCAACTGGTGTATTTGCATTTTGCTGCCAGGAGGTTGTGCTATAAACAATGGGGTTGAGACACCAGCATGAGCCAGGGGATGAAATTTTATTTTAAAATCTGAAATGCTGTGTAAGCATTTAAGGTATGAATCGGTAATTGTTTCAGTAACAGCTTCCATTAGATATGGTTTATTTGTAGTCCATCCTCTTTTCAAGGATCCAGGGGAGTGTTAACACACTGGAGCAGACTGCATATCATTTACATTTTTAAACCAGCATTAAAGGAAAATGACCATAACTTTCGAGAGTTCTAAATATTGGGAGAGATTTTATGCCTCCATCCTTAGAGAAAACAGTTTTAATTTTTCATTTGAAAATAAGAAAAGAAACCTCCCTTTGCTTTGAGGAAGGATTTGAAGGATTCTGAAACCAAGAAATACCTTTTTAAAAAGAAAAGTCTGGTTCGAAGACTGAGAGCTCTTTTCTCCCCTCTAATGAAATCTGTAGAATACAAACTTTTAAAAATCATCTGTCTCATTTGAGATTCAAGATCATCAAATTCTGTCTAAATATTTTGTTTTAACTTCTAAGCTCATTATGGTTTCTTTGTGTTAACTTGTATTAAAATCTGTCAGCTATGACTGGTCTCATAAGCACAGTCAGCGGACCAGAATAAGTTAATTATTTACTTGTGTCACTAGTGCTCTTCATCTAATGAAATGCACAGCTGTGTTAGATCTGCAGTTGGATGTGTAGCTTCCATTGTTCGGCGAGTCAGCAGAGGGTAGAAGCCCCAGTGATGGAGAGCCCTCAGTTCTTTCTGCTGTTCTGGCTTTCTGTGTCGATTTCATGGATCTTTTATCATTCACTTTCACACAAAACAAACAACACAGGGCTGTCTGCTATGGGAACCATCTTGGCATATAAAAGGGTTTTCAGAGCCTAAAGTAATTTTAAGTTAGCTAAGATTTAATTTTTGGCTTACAGGTGCCCTTGATTCGGATGTGACCAAAGCAGTTCCTCTAATGGAATGAAAAATTTCCAGAGTTACTTATATGTTTTTAAAAGCAGCATCAAAAAGGGGCCAATGGAGTTATTTCCCCCCCAAAAAAGAAAGTGTACTACATTTTACTCAGATTTCAAGCAAAGTTATTAGTTTCAATTTCAGGGGAAGGAGCATTGCTTTCATTTTAATAGCGGAGTTAAATGGGCCTGATTAAATGTGTCAACGAAAACTAAAAATACCAGATGCAAATCTCCTCTCCTAACCTCCCCCCTTGTAAGTATTCCCTACTTCTCCTCGAGCTTCTGTACCTCCTGCCCCTCACTCCCACCTTCTCCAGTTAGGGGGTGGACGCCAGCTTCCCCCTGTGAACTGTTGCTGAAGGGTGCCGAGGTCTTCCTTTGGTTTTGTTTTTAAGGGATCTAGCCAAGCCTCCACCTCCTCACCAGCCAAAGTGACATTCTGTCCAGAGCACGTCCCAGCACCAGCCTCTGCAGGAATTGCCGTTTTTAACATTTTGGTCACTGCCATACAATGTTGTTGTCGGTGTACCTAGATTTACAATTTGATCTCTTTCAGTGAAGATTTCCCAGTAGCCCAAGTGTTTGTCAGATAATTTCAGTGTGGACAAGATGGATTTTTGGAGGGAAGAAAGAAGGGGTCACACACTCAGCTTGACTTAAATTCTAATATATTTGTAGTTGAATTTGAAATAAACTGAACTGAATGATCGTTTCTGTGCTTCATGTAGGAAAGCATATGTTCTTTTATAATAAAACAGTACAATTTCAACCAAAAAGCCAATTAAAGTACCTACAGGCTCTAGAATTCAACACCACAAACCTGATTACCATATTGTTGGCAGCCACTAGAAATCAGAATATTAATAACCAATACTGAAATAAGCAATTGGCTTTCTTTTTCTTTAGACTTTAGCTCTTGGTGATTATAACATATCACAAAAAAAAAATTTTTAAATAGTTTGAGTGATTATGTAGAAATCAAACTGAGGAATTAAGAGTTTCTTGGAGAGCATTTTTTTTCAGTAGGTACAGATGGTTGATAACTTTATATACAAAGGAAAAGAAATTTTATCTTAGTATAAAAGGATCTTATTTCTTTGTTCAAAGCTACTGCACATTCCCAATTTTAAATTATGTAGATTGGGGTTAACAATCCAAATTATGTCCTTATCCGTCCTACCAAGAAAGAGAAATTAAAAACAATTTAAGCAACAAAATCTCCTACAGGTTAGATTAATATGAAGAGAGTAATAAAATACATTTAATTTTAGAGACAATAGTGTGCATAGAGCTGGTAGGTTTTTGTTTTATTCTGTCTCTGTTCTTAGAATTCTTCTAATTCTACCCTTTTCTTCCAATAATAACCTGGCATTTAATTTTCTTGTTCAACTTTACAACTTCAATCAGAGATCACTTTTTAATGTGTTGTCAGCTATAGGAATTAAAATTCCTTAGGGTGGTTTAGGCTCAGCCAGGGAAGCCCTGGCAAAAGCTAGCCAACCAGCCAGTGCTCTGGTTGCCCCATTAGCACATCAGCCACACACGAATACTTTTTGTCACTGTTTTTTTAAAACTACAATGTCAACACACCTTTCAGGTAGTTCTGTGTTTGATAGAGGAGTCGGATCCCTCTGAGGTGGGTGCACTAGGCAGCAGATCACAGACTAGCTTACGAGGAGCAGAATTGCTGTGGACTGGAAACTTCAGAGATGGTGACGGGGCCAGGGCCCAAAGTCACCATCTTGGCTTCCGTGGCACAGGAGGTTGTGTGAGCAGCTTAGCAGCACCATCGTTGTGTCATGCTAGCAGTTGAGTCCGCAGGCTGCAATGCCTCCCTGCAATGAAAGCCATTTTCAAATGCTTTATTGCTGGAAATTGCTTTTGTTACTCTTGGTAGAGACCACAGAGACGGAGATAAAGGTAGCAGGGGGATATTCCAATTAAGTACCATAGTCATCTCTTCTCCACACGTGCTGTACATGGCATGAGATCTTCTCTTCCCCAGGTGTTTGCGGCTTGATCGTCCCGCAGGAAGACATGCCATTCTGTGATTCTGGCATCTGTCCGGACATCATAATGAACCCACACGGCTTCCCATCACGAATGACGGTCAGTACATTTCTCAAAGGTACTGCTTTAAGGAAGAAAGCAGCAGTGGGTTCGTAGGAAGTATTAGCCATGGGACCCTGAAACTTATTTTTAGAAAGGGACTTTGACCCTCTTGCCACATCACTAGGTTCCGAGCCCCAGACTGTGCTGGGTTACTCTTCCCTATGGAGGGCTCCTGTGCGGAGCAGGTCTGCCCTTCCCTTTGAGAGCTGTCTTCTAAGGGATGAACTTAGCCCACGGCAAAGAGAGCCTCTTGTATTGACCCTAGTGGATCTCCCTTTCCATGGTTGTTGTTTGGCAGTCTGGCTCCACCACTTAGCAGCTATAGGACTTGGGAAAGCTGCTTATTAACATGTGTATACTTGAGCTCCCTCGTGTACAGGGAGGGAAGTAACTGCCTGTCTCAGTTTCTGGGGGCACAAACCTGGGTCCCACATGTCAAGCTTTTCCAAGGCCACACGTTAAGAGAGCGATATATACTTGCCACTATTAATTTATCACTCTTATTAATAGTAGTAATATCACAGTCTTTGGGGGGAGTCGGCCACAGCTAAATAAATAGATCTTCTACACCACAGGAAGGGGCTCACTTGGGTTGTTCCATCCCAGGTGGGAAAACTGATTGAGCTGTTGGCGGGCAAGGCTGGCGTACTGGACGGGAGGTTCCACTATGGCACTGCGTTTGGAGGCAGCAAAGTGAAAGATGTGTGTGAAGACCTCGTTCGCCATGGTTATAACTACTTGGGGAAAGACTTTGTGACATCTGGCATTACAGGGTAAGTATATTTGTAGACATTTTTTAAAAAAAGTTTGATTTTATTAGAATAAGAAGTCAGAGTCCTTAAGGTATACCTTAAGATGAGCTTCACTCTTGTAAGAAATCAGACACAAGAAAATCTAAATTTGCTGTGGAGGTGTTAGCTGATGCTGCAGTGATCATGTTGCACTATGTCAGCATATCAAATCAACACATAGCACACTTTAAACTTGTTCACAGTTATATGTCAATTATATCTCAATAAAACTGTGGCGTGGGGGCGGGGTAGGGGATTGGGGATCCAAATTCACCAAACTGATAAATTAAGGAGTGCTGCTTTACTGGTGAGGCAATCATTTTAAAAGGAGAAAAGAATTTACCAACATAGATTTTCTGTACAACTTTTAATCATATATAATGCAAAATCCCATAACTATTGAACTTTCTCTGCATTAATAGGACAAATATCAGGTAAATTGTGCTCAGATAGCCTGAGACCTGACATTTGCATATTCATTCACTGGTGTGTGAAAGATCTAACATGTGCTAGGTATTAAGTATATAATGGCAAACAGAATAGGGTCCTTAAGCTGTGGAGCTAACCAATGATATTTGTTACTAGACTTATTAAAAATTAAGACAAAAAAAAGTCCCTTCTTAGCAGAGCCTACCCTGACTCCTTAATCTGAAACTACAACTGTCTTGCCCATTTCCTACTTTTTTTTTCTCTCTAGCATCATTATCAAATACACTGTGTAATAATACTAATACCATTACCTGTCTCCTCTGTGAAAGCAGGGCTCATTTGTTTTGTTGGTTGTTCTATTTCCTGTGTCTGCACACAGCAGACTCTCCATAAATATTTATTCAATAAAGAAATGAAAACAAATCAGTACAAACAGCTCTCACCAAAACGGGTTAGGACACCTCTGTGAAGTGGAGGGTGTTCCAGCAGAGGTCCAAAAGGTGAAAAGAGTAGCCCATTTGAAGACTGTTTCCTGTAGAGGGGAGTTTGACACCTTCCAAGGGGAGGTGAGGCTGCACAAGGGGAAGAATGTTCTCACGGGCAGAGCGCTTGCTCCTCCCATTAACTTGGGAGAACCAGAGATCCCTGAAATTCTCGTAAATGACAGACTTTTGAAACTTGACTCACACATGGTTTTAAAGGATCAACTCAGTTGCTTAAGTTAAGACACATATTGTGTTTTGTGCCAGATAAAACTCTGGGACATAGTGTTTATACCATTCTTCTGAGGCTTCAAACTGCTTGTATACAAGTGAAACTGAGCCTGAAAGTGTGTGTAAGAACCCAGGGCTTGATTTGGTGCTGCACATAGATTATCCAGGTGGGATTAAAATGGTCAGAATTGGTATCTGTTAAAAATCCTGAGTGGTCTCTAAAATGTTCTGTCCGAACTCTGGTAACATAGATTTCCTTAGGTGTGTCATACCTAGGTGTTCTAGGAAATCACATTACAGGAAGAGAGTAATGGTCCATTTCAAAAGTGATTCATTGAAGTAATTGAGGTCCACTTCAAAATTTGCATTTGCCGTGGCGAAACATGGTCTCAGTTTTGTTCCTCATCCAGAAATAATGCAGAAGTTGACCAAAAGTGTACAGAACAATGAATGAATTTGTTTGGCCTGCTGAACGTAATTTTACTGAAAGATTTGGATGGGTTATGCTCTGCTTCCCATAGATAACTTTAGGCTCTGTCTACACCACCTTCCTCTGTGCCCTAGCTAGTATTTCATGTCTGCCAGTTGTCTCAGGGGCAAAGTTTGAGAAATAGTAGTGTAGCTTGTGAGTTGAAAGTTTTCCCAAAGGGCTTGCAAACACATTCACCCACCAGCTTCACCCCTTGCCAAATTCTTGAGCATAACTAGAAGGGAAAATTGCACACGCCTTTCTTCAGTGGGTGATGGATGGCATTAGGTGAGTCTACCATGAGCAGCCACACCGAGGAGGACTGGAATCATTGATGATCAGAGATGGAAAGGACCTTGCTCTGACCCCCTTGTACAACTAGGAAACTTGGGATAAGGAGGTCACATAAGGACTGCATGACAGAGCTGGGACAGGGGTCATGTCTCCCGACACGCCGTCTTTTGTGCCCTGCAGTCCCTTCTGTGTCCCCATGAATTTGGCCATCCCTTACTGGCACAGCAGCTTGGAGGCCAAGATACCGGTGCTGGTGGTGCTGAGGGTGCTAGGAGGTAAGGCAGGGGCGCAGGGGCCTCTGCGTGGTGCTCGTGGCCTTTGCTGTTTCCACTCCTTCTTGGTGCCATGGCCCACACGTGCATGTACAGTGTTTGAGCTGGGCCAGCGCAGCTGGGAGAGCCCTGGACATGCTGCCCTGCTCACCAGCTCTCATTAACCCCTCAGACTCTCTGTGCCTGTGCCTTCGTCCTCAAGATAGGAAGGACAGTGGCTCCCTCCCTTGATGCTATATGGAGCAGATGGCACATGGTAGCTTCTCCCATTCTTTTGAGGAGGTTGTGGGGCAGTTAAACTTTCTTAGAGGCACCAACCCCCCCCCCACCCCTGCTGTTGCTCCAGACTAAAGGAGAAAGGTTTCTTCTGTCAGAGCACTGAAATAGTCACTGTCTTTTATAACCCTTATTACAGTTTTTCTAAGGATTCATTGAGTCAGCTGCATTCTAACAGACATTTACTGAGCACCAATTCTGTGCCAGGCAGGGTCACTGCTGCTAGAGCCATAGTGACCAAGGAGACAAAGTGCTGATCCTGAGGCGTTCCTCATCTGTGATGGGGAAGACCTATAATAATCGGGGAAATAATAAATGTATGTTATAATATCAAGTGGTGACAAGTGCTCTGAAGATAAAACCAAGGTAAGAGTTGAGACAATGTGGGGGCACACTGATGGTGGGGTGGGAGGAGCACTCCTTTATGTAAGGTGATAGGGAACAGGAAGTCTCTGAGGAGGTGAAATGTTTGACAGCCATGTGAATACCTGGTAGAAGAATGTTTTACAAACAGTAAGTGCAAAGGCCCTGAGGCAGACAGGCTTGCTATGTTTGAAGAGCAATGAAGAGGCTGATATTACTGGAGCAGAATGAACAATGGGGAAAGGGAATAGGATGTGAGTCTGAGAGGGGCAAGAAGCAGATTATATTAGACCTATGGCTGTGATAGAAAATTTGGATGATATGGATTCTGAGTGGTAGGAACCCATATGGAATTTAGAGCAGAAGAATAACTTGCTGTGATTTACATTTTAGGAGTCACTCTGGTTTGTTTTGTGAAAAACAGATTGTTGAGGGACAGGAACAGAGGCAGGGAGAGTAGCCAGAGGGCTGTCTGTGGGGGTCCAGGCAAGAAACCCTGGTAGCCGGACCTGGGTAGGGGGTAGGGGTGAAGGAAGGACCATCCTGTACGTACTTATTTACAACCTTTTTGAGTTTTCATTTATTATTGAAACAGTAGGTCTTCTGATATATCTATGGTGTGTTTCTATTTTCAGATATAGCTTTCTCATTCCATGCAGACTGAAAATCATCCTTCCAGTCACTCATGAACCTGTTCTGGAACAAACCAGGCCCTGCCAGTAAGGGGTCCTGGAAAAGGCTACCTCTTCTTAACCCAAACCTGATTTCTTAGCCCAAAACTCTGACATTTCTTTCAGCGAGCCCTTAGAAGCATACATCTATTTTGGCCCGGTGTACTATCAGAAACTGAAGCACATGGTGTTGGATAAGATGCATGCCCGGGCCCGGGGGCCACGAGCTGTTCTCACCAGGTAAGAGAAGGGCAGTTACAGAATTTATAATGCAGCCAAGTCTATCTTGGATTTCCTAGATGCAGCAATAAGCAGACTCAGCGAAGTTTTGGTTTCCTAGAGATGTCAAAATTTGGAGTGTTAGACATCAACAGGAATGCTGTGTGTCTGCTTAGCATGAAACAATAGCAGCTGATTCAGAATCATTCCAGAGGCTTGAGAGCAAACCCCTCACTGGTCCTGTCAGTAGTCGCCGAATATAGTCCTTGACTGTACCTGTCTGCATAGACCATCTTCTTCAAAGAGGTTCATATATGAGAATGTGGACACACTTACAGACCCACCGCATTACACACATGGATACACCTGCATGCTCCCTCGTATACACAAACATACAGAAAACACAAACATACAGTGTTTGGGAGCCCAAGCCACAGCTGTCATTTATTAAAACTTCTGTTACTAGAGCAGAAGATCCTGCACTGGGGTCCAGTGTGCCCCATTCACCAGTGTATTCTCCACTCTTAGCACAGTGTTGTATGTTAATGAATGGTTGGGTATAAATGTTGGGAAGGGAATCACAAATGCTAAGTTTCGTGTGTTCTGGGTACTACATTTTCTGGCTAGAAAAGCATATTTCAGGGCAGTGGTTCTCCACCACAAGCACTTTGGCCTCCCAGGGGACATTTGACATCTTGGGATGTCACAGCTGGGGGTGTGGGGAGGGAGCTACTGGCACCTGGTAGGTGGAGGCCAGGAAAGCTGCTGAAGATCCTACAGTGCCCAGGGCAGCCTGCACCACAGGGAATGACCCAGCTCAGTATGAGGTTCGTGCCAAGGCTGAGGAACTGCTCCCAGGAGAGGGAGCATAGGCCTTGAGGCCAGATAGACATGGATGTGAACTCACCTCTGCCTCGTAGCTTTACCACAAGCCTTGGACAGATCACTTAGCTTCTCATAGCTTCAGTTTTTCTCATACGTCAAGAGGTGACAGTAATGCCCACTTCACAGCGTGTGGGGAACAGTCAGATGTTCAGATATGGAATGTATATGGTGCCAATCCATGGAGGATGCTCCATAACTGCCCAGGTCCCTGCCTGCTCGCACTCATCATGGCTCGATGTTCCATATAGGGCAAGGGTTCAGGGCGAAGCAGTAAGTGTCTGAGTTTACTTTTTTAAACCAAGGGAAAGGTATGGATGATTTAGTTCCATGACCATTTAAAACTGAGTAAATGCACATACCTGTTGAAATGCTGTGTGTAGTCCAAATTGCAGAAGAGGGAAGTGAAGTCAAGATTCTCAAGACCCTAGTGACCCAGCAGTGAGACCCAACTTGGTTTAGGTGTTCCTGTTCCTTGAGCGCTGTCCCTCTGGAGCTTCCGTTTCAGTTAGAACATCCAAAAACTATTCCAGAGGAATGAGTGTCAAAACAGTTATTTTCTATTTTGTACTTTGTTGTGTAAAGAGTTATTACTTCTGTGCATTCTGTGGGAAGACTACCAGGGGTGCATTTGTCCGCCCACTATTTTGATTGGTTTAATCAAGTTTTGGTTTCTGCCCACATGTGATCTAGCCACTTTCACTTGTCCAATGGCCACAGATCGAGGGACTCCTCCTATCCCAGGTATTCTGTCAGCAGATAAAGACAGCCGTTGTGCTCAGTGATGAAGTTTCCACTATAGTGTGTTCATTTTGATCATTTGTAAGTTTTTCACACGTAGATTGTCTTTGAAAGAATAATCTACAACTTAAATTGAGCTCCCAATATAACTTTGGCAACAACAAAAGGTAAAATTTCAGCATGGGTTGGCATACGCCCTGTTTACCTTTTTAAATCTAAAACAAGCCTGATGTTGGTGGTCCTCCCGGGACCCAGAGAGTGTCACTCCAAAATCAGCTAGCCAGGGCAGCCCTGGTGGCTCAGCGGTTTAGCGTTAACTTCAGCCCAGGGCCTGATCCTGGAGACCCAGGATCCAGTCCCACGTCAGGCTCCCTGCTAGGAGCCTGCTTCTCCCTCTGCCTGTGTCTCTGCCTCTCTCTCTCTCTCTCTCTCTCTCTCTCTCTTTCTCTTCTCTCTGTCTCTCATGAATAAATAAATAAAATCTTAAAAATCAGCTAGCCAGGGAGCTCACTTTTTTCTTTTCTTTTCTTTTCTTTTCTTTTCTTTTCTTTTCTTTTCTTTTCTTTTCTTTTCTTTTCTTTTCTTTTTTTCCCTCTCTTCCTTTTTAATAGTTTGTGTCAGGACTACCTGGCTAGGGCTGCCTGTGCTGTTTCAGAATCCCCGATTGTCCCTACACCCTGGAATCCTTTTGAAGGATTCCCAAGCACGGCAGATACATAAGCCACAGGGAAGCTGTTCAGGGGACTCATAGCTCCCAGCTCACCCCCATCTGAGGAGGAATGGAACATGTTCATACATGAAGGACAGCTCAGGCACTGTCTGATTCCATGTGATTCCTGATCTATTCCAAATTTTATAAAAATCCATTTGATTCTTTCCATGTTTGTTTCTCAGTAACTGGAGCCCCAACAACTACTGGGGGACCCAGGCTTCCTCCACGCTCTGTTCCGTTTAGTTTCTCCACTGTCAGACAACAGTACTGAAACATCTCTGAAAATACTCCAAAGACATTCTTCCCTGATGTGAGGACAATAACAGTTAACGGTATCATGATGGTGGTAGTATTGTGATATGTTCATTTATTATTCCATCACATAATATGACTTCTTACTACCACTTAATAACAGTAGCAGCCACTAGTATTGTCCTCCCTTGGCTCTTTGGGAGCCTTACATCCTATGTTGTACAGATGCAGCAGAGGGGCAGGCTGAGCAGCTCCTCAGGTTACCGTCCCGTGAATGATTTGAACCAAGGTGAGCCTGCTCTGGAGCCTCGTGCGCCTGGCCAGGACGGGATGCTGCCCTTTGTTGGTTCACCAAAATAATGACACATATGTCTGATTTGTCTCCAAGGCAGCCCACTGAAGGTCGGTCTCGTGATGGCGGTTTGCGTCTTGGAGAAATGGAACGTGACTGTTTAATCGGCTATGGAGCCAGCATGCTCCTACTAGAGAGACTGATGATTTCAAGTGATGCCTTTGAGGTTGATGTCTGTGGGCAGTGTGGACTTCTGGGGTATTCTGGCTGGTAAGTGGGTGCCATATGCCTCTTGTACCGCACACCTTGCCTCTTAAATCATAGCTCAGGAATCGACCCCAGATCCCACCCACATATTACCCATCCTGCCCCATCCACGAACTCCTAGAACTAGGGATTTTATATGTACCTGTTTAGTTTGTCTGCCTAATGCTCTGCATTCTACACACTAACTAGAGTTTAAATACGCAAGGAGTATGGACTAGCACTTCTTTTTTTTAAGATTTTATTTATTTTGCAAGTGAGTGAGAGAGAGAGAACTAGCACAAGCAGTAGCAGGGAAGGGCAGAGGGAGAAGCAGACTCCCTGCTGAGCAGGACTTGGGACCTGATCCTAGGACCCACGGATCGTGACCTGAGCCAAAGGCAGACGCTCAACCAACTGAGCCAATCACGCACCTGATTTTGTCTTCTTTTTAATATTTTTTCAAACACCTTTTATCACTGTTTACCTGTAAAAAAATTGCTAGCAGATCCATTGTCAGATATGAGAAGTACAGCATGTTGTAACTAGAACTTTTTAGAGAACATTTTGTTGAATGCACTTATTTAACCTCAAACCCAGAGAGCCCGGTATGTTGTGCCCAGTTACATAGCACATTGGTGACCAGGACCAGGACCTGACACCCTGGCCCCTTGTCTGTGCTCCAGCTGAACAGCAAGCTGTTTTACACCGTGAATTCCATGATAGCAGAGCCTAGGTCTGTCTCAGGCACTCACTCAACACACAGAGTTTGCTGAGTGCCAGGCACTCTTCCAGGCCCAGAGTGCAGTGGTGAATAAGACACATGAATGGCTGCTCACAGGGAATTTACCTTCTAGTTCATTCCAACTACATTGGAAGCCCTCCTGCAGGGGCTCCCTGCTCAGTGGGAGCCTGCTTCTCTCTCCCTCTCCCTCCCCCTTCCCCTCTTTGTGCTCTCTTGCTCTTTTTCTCTCTCAAAAAAATCTTTAAATTTATTTTTTAAAAAAAGATGAAGCTACATGTTTGTTGGTTTTGTTTGTGTAGACAGAGTATCTTTACACCTCAGAAGTGGAGAAAAGGAGTTCCTTGCACTGAGGAACAGCTACCATACCTTGGGTTAGTCACCTCTTGTGACCCTGACTGAGCCTGTTGGCAGGAGGACCTGTAGCTTACCATCTCCACTTACTTTCCTACCAGAGATGAGGTCTAACGAGGTCTGAAGTGGGTCTGCAGGGACAGGAAGCTGCCTTGATTCCCTAGTCAGCCTTCTCCTGACCTCCCAGAGCCTCTTCTCCCCAGGGAGGCATCATCCCCTGGAGGAGAAAATTAGGCCCAGTTGTGCAATCCTTGCCAGAGTTCAAGGGCTTGAAGGTTACCTGGGCCACCTTCCCCTGGTGAGTCTCCCCTCAGTGAAGCCTCCTTCTCAGCCCTGCCACCCTAGGCCTCCAGTTTCTTGGTTGAATAAAGCAAATCAAGAGCCAGAGTGAGCAAGCATCTTCAAATATAGTATATGTCTCGCTTGGTAAATGGCAAAACCTTTTAGCCAATTATTCAGTGGGTTTTTGCATAGAAGAGTTGATGAGACTTGTCCATGAAGAAATCATTTCATTTAAAAATGAACTCAAGAGGTGGCCATTTGCAGCTCATTCCTTTCATTAGGTTGCAGAGACAAGTGATATGATTCTAAGCATGAGACTGGCTCTTGTATCAGTGACTGGGGTAGGGATTTCAATTCGGAGATTCTATTCGCCTTTTGAAATGCATATTGAATTTGTGTTTTATTGTCCTGGCTGTGTAACAACAGCCACACAGTGTAATAGGAAGGTGCCTGGGACCAATGCCACTGTGCTTGCATCTCCAGATTTGGCACAAGGATTTTTAAGTCATTTGCTTTGAAAAGATGGTAACAGAAGAACCATTTTATTAAAAATAGGGATCAAGAAACTTCAGAATGGATTTCCTTTCCTTCTCCATCCTCCCTGCATTTTCTCCTGTGCCCCCCACCCAAAGAAGAGAGAGAAAAAGAGAAAGCAATAGACCAGATTCTCTCACGTACTTTGACAACCTTGCCCTCTCTTTCAGTGAATCTTCAGGGAAACTAATGAAGGCAGTAATTGATCTCAATATTATTCTATTAAATTCTTACCTTCTTTCCTGCTTCATTTCTGTCTCATTTAGAGATCATGTGATGGCAGTGCCTGATTTTGAAGCTCATGTGTGTCATGTGTATTATATTTGAAATCCTTTGAAAGAGGGCTAAATCAGGTTACACAGTTTAAGGGTATTCACTGTAATTAAACAGACCTGGATGTAGTGTGTCTGATTTTGAGTGGCCCGCTTGTACCCTTGTTGCCAACAGAAAAAAATCCTAATCCAGTCTGGTAGTCTAACAGCCTCCTTGTGTGCGGCTGTCTGGTAGAGGAGCATAATGATGCTGTGCCTTTCCATCATTACCTGGGCGTGTGTGCTGGGCAGTGTCGGGGGAGCACGGGCGTGTGTAGGAGGAAGTCGCTCTTTAATGAACAGCACAATGGAGGCTGAGTAATTAGAGCAGTTCAGAACCTTGAAACTGGCCTTTTGTCAGTGATTTGCACATTAGTAAGGCATTGCTATGGGGATGTTTACAGCAAGACTGTTGTTCGGCAGTAGACGTGAGGGGCATAAGTCACAAAAGAGAGGTCCGGAAGAAAACTGCAGAGAAAAGAAAATCCCTATTAAGATAATTAGCTCATAGAGGACGTTTCCCTGGACAGTCATTTCTCATGTGGAACCACAGCTGCCTTCTTTTGCTGCCTATGCCCTAAAAAGTCAGTTTATTTTATCATTTTGGGTCAAGCTTCTTCCTTTTGAAATTGTTCCAGACACAGGGTAAGGTAACCTAAGGGCTTGTAATTTGTATGTGTGTGTATATGTATATATATTTCTATGTATGTGTGTATGTAGGTATATGCATTGGAACACTTTAAATGATGGAGAAATATTTAATAATAGAGAAGGTTTGAGGGCTTCCTGGATTATGAAACCAGCACGTATGGAAATTTTTAGAAAGCTTGGATTGAAGTTGCAGAGTACTATAGACAGAACCAGCAAGAAGTTGCTTCAGTTAAAACCATTTCTCCAATCTAATTAAAGCATGAACATGATTCCTGAATAAATTAAGTCAACCAGACACATTAAAAACATAGTTCTTAAATGATAATGCATTAAGAGGTCTTTAGGTGCAGTCTTTTAGGAAGAAGTCTTTCACCATGTTTGTGTTAGTACTGTTGATGGGACCCAGCACTCTAGGTGCAGTCTTTTAGGAAGAAGTCTTTCACCATGTTTGTGTTAGTACTGTTGATGGGACCCAGCACTCTCTGTGTGTCCTCAATTCTCCACGGGGACCACACTGGTGGCACAGGCCTGTGCCGGCTCATCTTTCCCCCGCCCATCCCTTCTCAAGAAGCTCACATCTGTAGCGTCACTCACTACCACACTCAAAATCTTAGTACTTTTCTTTTCTAAAATATTAAAAGCTTGATTTTGGTGATTTCATAAATGATCCCTGTACTTTATAAGGTATTCAGTGTTATAAAAAAAATAAAGAAAAAATGTAAGTAGTCACATTAATTCCCATCACCCAAAGATGACCACTATGAACATTTTAGTGACTCTTTTTGGGACATCTCTGTTTGTGAGTAGTTATGTAACCCTCACTCTCCAGGGTTTTGTTTTATTTTTTAATCATGAACCTTTTTATATTCTGATAATAGCAGAAAAATGCTATTATATACTCATCAAAAAAAAATCTTGTTACATATGACTTTGGGGGCTTCATATATTTACTGAAACCCCATCTCCTGAGGACCAGGCTCTTAAGGAAACTTCCTTTTTCACTCCACAGTGTGTCCTGGACACCTCTATATTTCAATAAATATGGGTCTGCATCTGCATCATCATATTTAATGGCTGCACAGTATTCTTCTGTAAAAATATTCTGTAATCACAGAACCAATTCCCTCCCAGACATCTGAGCAGTCTCCTGCTTTGTGCTGTTATAAGCAGTGTGACCATGAACATTCTCATGAACTCACCTTTGCCACTTTTGTGATTAATTATTATTATTAATCAAATAACGCACATTTCCATTTTTACACATGTTGCCTTACTGCCCTCCACAGAGGCCTTTACTGTTCACGATGGAGTTTCCAGTTTCCAGCTAACACTGAATCTTCTAAGTCTCGGTTGGTGTTCTTCTTACACTCACTAACCACTTCCTATTGACTGGGAGGACCTAGTTTTCTACCTAAGCCTTAGCTGCCCCAGACTCGAGGTGTAGGGTGAGGTCCTATTTTGGTCTGAAACCTGAGAGGATAGTTTGCTTTCTCCCTGGGGAGACTCTTCATTAGTTGTAGCCATTAATTAAAAACTAAGTTCAGTTCCCTGGCTCTTCCTGAAGGAAGAGAAAAGAAAATTCTAATTGGAATAGACATGTCTTGATCAGGAGCACAGGCTTTTGTAGGGATTTGATGGAAATATATGCACACAGGGAGAGCCTGTTGTAAGTACAGTAGCTTCTACTAGTTGAGATAACCAAGCTTGAAGAGTGCTGGAAAAATAAATAACATTTGATGGCCTCCACATTCTATATGAAAGCCTTGTGTTCCTCATCACACTGAAAGTGTCTCAGTGACAGATGAAATTGTAATTGTTGAAAATCATGTCTTGAAAAGTATAATATAATAAATTTCTATCAAATACTTGGAGATTGAATTGATTTTCAAAGTTTTCAACAATGAAAAAGTCTAAGTCTGAGTGACTTCAAGACGGCTCAGATTTCTGGGCCTCACTCAAAACAAGTAAATTGGAAAATGTTTTGCATTGTAAAGAAAAAGATCTAGAAACATGGTAGTAACTCAATGAAATTGCACGCTTTTAAAACTGCAGGAGTGATAGGTGTTTTGTTTTTCCTTTTGCTTCTTGGATGCTGCTTTTTGGGGACTGAGGGAGACTTCGGGGGGCACAATGTACATATCTGGTAGCAGGCAGGACTGAACCCCAATGAATAGAATAGAGCTGATAGGATGGCAGTAAAACTTTGTAGAGAAAATTCTTACTTCTATATGCAGGGCTTCGTTGCCTAGTCACCGTCCCTCTAACATGTACTGATTTGGGTTTCAGGTGCCATTACTGCAAGTCATCATGCCATGTGTCTTCCCTCCGCATCCCATATGCCTGCAAGCTGCTCTTCCAGGAGCTGCAGTCTATGAACATCATCCCCCGGTTAAAACTGTCCAAATACAATGAGTAAGGACAGAAAAGGTGATTATTTAAAGAGAACAACCGGTAGTTCCAACACAGTGGATAGCAGAGGGGATTGAGGACCACGTCTCCTTCTGTAATTCCTTTGAATGTCCCCCCTCAAAGAAGAAAGATGAGGAGGTTTTCTTACACTGGGGATGGACCACGCAGCCTTGATCAGTGAGTCATGGGCACTGGGAGATATATGCTGCCAACACGGACCATGATGCAATGTCTTGTTCCTGTACTGAATGCGATTCACAAATGGATGTGACCTAAAAGATAAATAAACTTTTATTTATGTTCTGGTATCTTGACATCTACTCATGAGAAAGATCAAGTGAATGGTTATATTTTTTGAATATCTTTTTTTTTTTTTTTCCAGAAACCATTCCAGGCAACTCTGATAATTTTGAGGAGAGTTCCCTATCCTTCTAGGAAGTTTTCAGTTCTCTAACAAAGATTAGAAAGTGCGGGTTCCAAACTGAGACATCCTTGAGGAAAAAAAAATTGTGTCGGGTTGATATTTCTATAAACTAGCAGATACAACATTTGAATAGGTGTTTGAGAAATACCATAATAGGAAGTGGCCAAAATTGTTGAGTTCGTCCTGCTACGGTTTTCTTTTTTCAAGTTATTTGTAAGTTCCTTGTTTTAACAACTACCAATTAGATTCCTATTTTAGGTAATGATAGAGCAAACTTTTTCAGGCCACCCTCGAAGCCCTTTTCCCCTCAAGGATTTGCCATGTTGGAAGTGGCACAAGGACAAGAGACTGAAAAGCCACACCAAAGCGCCTGAGAGGCCACAGCCCTGACCTGAGCTTTGGCAGAGCACAAGAGCTGGAAGACAAAACCATGAGCTCAGAGTTGCCCAGACACCCAAACAAGAAAGGCCAACATCCCAAGTAGAAAGAAAGCTCATTGAGGTGAGCCCAACTTCTCTACCACCTTTCCCTTTTATGAGTCTGCTCAGGCTGCCATAACAGAATACCACAGACCAGGTGGCTTACACAACAGAAATTTATGTTGTTGCCATTCTGGAGGCTTAAAGTCCAAGATCAGGGTATACTTGCCAACAGGTTTGGTTTCTGGTGAGGACTCTGTTCCTTTCTGGCCACAGATGGTCACCTTCCCACCGTGTCCTCACACAGCCTTTCCTTGATGTGCATGAGGAGAGCAAGCAAGCTCTAGTGTCTCTTCCACTCCTTGAAAGAATTCCCTTTCCTGTCACATTAGGGCTCCTGTGACCTCACTTAACATTAATCACCTCCTTAAAGGCTCTACCTCCACACACAGTCCCATCGGAAGCTGGGGCTTCAACATAGGAGTTTTGGAGGGACACAATAGTCCTCAAGGTATTTGCCAACTCAGAATGCACAGGTGGAAATACTAGCAGTGTCTGCTCAAGCTGAACATACCCAGCAATCTCCCTCATAGGTGTATGTATGCCCAGCAGACGCGTATCCATACATGTCACCAATGGGCATGTACCAAAATGTTTCCCACAGCATTATTTATGGTGGTCCCAGTTTATAAATAATCTCTGCCCACTAACAATAGGATAAATGTTGGTATGTTCACATCATGGAACACTAGATAGCAAAGAAAAAACTTACATCTCACAGCTGTAATATTGGGTAAAAAAAAACACACACACACACACAAAACAATATATACTGTAGTGGTTCCATTTAAGGTCAAAAATAGGCAAAACTAATCCAAAATCTAAGAAGTCACGATAATAGTTCCCGTCTGTAGAGTGGGTGGCTAATGAGTGGAGTGGAGCAGGAAGGCCTCTAGTTTGCTGGTAGCATTGGGGGGGCGGGGGATGGATTGAGTGTTGGTTACATGGGTGTGTTTATTTTATGAAAATCCATTGAGCTATATACACAGGATTTTCCATTTTTCTGAGTATGGTATACTTTAAGTCTTAAAAAAGGACACAGGTTCTAAATCTGTGTTTGTCTCTTAACTTCATAGCTTTGTTACCCCAAATAGAACACAACTGTCTTCATTCTTTTAGTTGCCTCATTTTTTGGTTTCTCTCATCTTCAAAATGGGAATGATACTGACGCCTAGGGCCCTTTTTAAGATTAAATGAGATAATACATCCAAAGGACTCAGCACAGTGGCACCTAACAGATGTTCACAGATGCTTGTCATGTTTTCTTTGATACCATTCTCCCCCACAGTGCTGCTGGGACAGTCCATAGCCAGTACCACTTCGTGGGGAAAGAGGACAGGCAGATGCTGAGTTTGCTTTGGAAGAGAGGGGGTTTGGAAACTGGGACCAAGTGCGGAAACTAGGGTTTTGCACAAACTGCCTGGGTTGGTGGTGATAGGAAGGCAGGAGGGTGGGAGGGTTAGAGAACGCACTTCCCCGGAACAGCCATTTACCACAGACATCAAAGTGAGGCCTGTTGGCGGCACGGGAGTCCCGGAATAGCTCCGTGGAGCCCTCAGAACCAGTTCTCAAAACGCTTCCATGTGGGGAGAGTCAAGAAACGGATTTCAAAAGAGAGAAGAAAAAGGCCTTGATTGGGTGCTACATAATGGGATAGTTTTCAGCTGCTTCAGAGCATTTGGGCCCAACACGTCTATTTGCCGTAATGAGTCACATGAGAATGAGCATTAGGGCTGGTGGCTGGGCCCATACACCTCGGCCTCCTGAGTAACAGAGAAGCCCGTTTCTGAGAGACCTGTAAATAATTTGTGAAACGGATGGTCAGAAAAGTGACTGTAAAAGTAGCACCTCTTTACCATCCATATTTACTCCATATGTGTCTTGAAAACACTTTATTTCATTTGCTGAACAAAAGTTGGGTTTTTCTACATTAGCCCCCACAGGGCCAAGTTGGTGGGAAATTAAAGTCAAGCTTTAAGTTTAGGCAGTTTTTAATTGAAGAAAGAAAAACAAGTGGCAATCCGAAAGTATACGCTGTTTGTTGCCAAAATCAAGCTATTCAGTGGGACCTCAGACATAGGCTCCAGGAGCAATTAAGAGATTTGCTTCAGCAAATCAGATCTATCGTGACCAGGATATCAGGGCAGAAGGTCTCAGAACAACCGGAAACTCACATGTTCACTCACAAGGCTAAGATCTCAGACCACGGTCAGAGGAGTTAAAGTATTTTTCAATCCAGGTAATAGCTCTAATTCTATGCACAATAAATTTTAAGTCTGGTTAAGTCCCAATCATTCACATTGATGGAGGCAAGGAACGGTCTGAATATATTTAAACAGATGAGGGATCCAAATTCTTTTGTGTTGGATGCTGGGGTGAAGTTTATACTCACGTTCTTAATATAAAGAAACGTGAGTGAAGCCTTGTTGCATCTGCTGTACTTTGGTGACTCCTACGAACGCTGTATTTGAAGAAACTGCATTTAAGTAATGACAGATCCCGGAGGGTCGGGTGGCCTGGCCACTGGAGTGTTCCTCAAAGTGTGGCCCCTGGACCAGCAGCATCAGCCTCACCCGGGAGTTTGGTAGATATTTGCTGCGACCCCGCAATCCCTGTCTTAACAAGCCCAATGCAAGCTAAAAGTTGAGGTCCACCCTTGTGAGCTACCTGAAGAGTTTTGGATCCTGTCCTTAGAGCCAGACTTTGGATTTTTCGGGAATGCCAAAGCACCCCACCTCTTGGGAACTAGCCGCCCACTTTCCTCTCTTTTTTGCTGGTGTTATACTCCTCCTCAGGCATAGCTTGTATTGGCCTGCCCCTCCTGCTGGCTCCAGCGCCCCTCCCCCCGGCATCCCCCAGTCCCCCTGGCATTCTCTGACCCCCCTGGCACCCCCTGGCCCCTCCTGGCATTCCCCAGACCACCTTGGCATCCTCTGACCCCACCTGGCATCCTCCAGCCCCCATGGCATCCTCCAACCCCCCCGGCATCCCCCGGCTCCTGCACCTGCCGGAGGAGAGCCTGCACGGAGGACGTGGGCGGGGACGGTGAGAGTCCCGGAGGATGCGCTGCTCCTGCTGCTGCTCACCTGTGCAGGCTCGGTGCAGGCTGGGTGCGGGCTCTGGCCTTCAGGTGTCTGCTCCCCCTGGCAGCTCCCCCCGCCCCCTGCCGCCCACCAGAGCTGCCACCAGCCCCACAAACGGAGCCTGCATCAAAAGTGGACCCTTCTGAAGTCACTGCTGGGAAAGCCAGGATGTCTCTCAACGCCGGCTGCTCACCCCGGTCCTCGCGGGTCCTCGCAGGGAGAACACAGTCCCTCTTCCGAAGCCAAGCACAGAGTCAGCAGATGCCTTCGGGTGAGCAAGGCTTCCTGGGGCCCGCAGGAATAGTCTGGTGGTGGGCTTTTCCGACTCTTTCCAGATGCGGAGTGGCTCCCCTGGCCTCCACCCATGAGATGCCAGCAGCATCCCCCAGCTGTGACAAGTGTCTCCATACGCTGCCAACCGTCTCCCACAGTTGAGAACCACGGAACCAGACAATGCTAATGAAAGTGGTTTGAACTGCAAAGCCAACAAGAACAATTCCAGCTCAGTTTCAGGTTTAGTGCTGTGGATTGGTTCTTGTAGACACAGCCACTGTGCTGCTGGGGAACCGAGTGACTCTACTCTGTTAGCATGACACAGCCTTGTTTTGCCTTCAAGGTCCCAGTAGTGACAGAAGATAAAAGTGACATCAGTCGTATTGGTCATCAATAAAGTAAGTTTCATTCCAGTTGTAAAATCTGCCATTTCATATCTGATGATAATGTTACAATTATTAAAAAGTAAGGTTGTTATAATCTCCATTTTTGTCCACATTTACTCATAGCCTGGTATTTTAGATCTAACCTATTTTCGGGGGGCACCTAGCGGGCTCAGTCAGTTAAGTATCTGCCCTCGGCTCAGGTCATGATCCCGGGGTCCTAGGTTCAAGCCACGGTATCAGGCTCCATGCTCAGTGGGGAGTCTGCTTCTCCTTCTCCCTCTCCCCAGCTTGTTTCTCTCTCTCTCTTCTCTCTCTCTTTCTCTTCTCTCTTTCTCTCTCTTCTCTCTCTCTCTCTCTCTCTCTCTCTGTCAAATAAAATCTTTTTTAAAAAAAGATCTAACCCATTTTTGGTCAGAGATGCACCCTGATTTTCATCATTTACCTAATCAAACCTCAGCATTGTGCCTGCCTGCCTGCCTGCCTGCCGTGTGGCAGGGACTGTTCTGCCCTTTGAGTGGGTCACCAAGGCCCCGGAAGTCAGTGGGGTCCTAAGCCCCCTCCTAGCCAGCTGCCGTACCTCCTACACTAGAAGATGGGCAGTAGGGTCCCCAGAGCAGGGATCTCAGCAGCAGCAACCGCCCTTCTGAGTTAACTGGACAGCTT